TAACTCTTGTCACCTAGGGCTTAGCAGGAGGTGGAGAATGTTTTTCAGGGGTTGTGTTGGAGCTCGGGAGCCCCAGATGCAAAAGCAGCACACGTCCTTGAGTGAGTGGAACCACCCATAGCTGAGGGTCAGATTTTCAAGGACTCAAAACCATTATCTGATTCTTCAAGGTTAGTGGGATGCAGCTGTGATTTCTTCACTGTTACATTTGGCAGAAATGTAACACAGTGCTTGCTGATGTGGGGAATGCATAAAATCCTGCATAAATTCTGAACAAACATCACTAAATTACCAAGATTCCAGTTTAGACAGCTGTTGTAAAATAGCATTAAATGGTTCTTAAAATCACTTCTTTTTCCACCAAAATGAATGTTTTCTCTAGTTGTATCCCTGACTTGAGCTGTGTCCCTTTCCCGGGCCAGGAAACAACAGCCTTCATCTCCTGCTCTTTGTAATCAATGTCTTGTGGATCTCTTCCCCATGTCCTTTCCCTCTGTGTATGAGATGGAAAAAAGGGAAAGGTGGCAGAAACCTCCTGTGAATTTGAATATTATTCATTGAACATAGTATCAGATAGTGCAAATGGTAAGGACTGCTGTGCAAGATATGTCAAGGTACAAAAGACTCACTGAATTATGTGTGGTGTCATGTTGACACAAGCTAAGGTGAAATTTAGGAGATAATTACTAAACAAATTGCTGCTGTTTGCTAATCTAACACAGTCAAATCTGATCAACACAAAAGAACGTGTCTTATAGTAAAAGTTCCAATTGGAAAAAAAAAAATTCATGCTCAAGTGTGTGCCTTGAGCAAAGGCCTCTGGTGCTACTGCTTTCTAAGGTGTACTGGTGCTTGCACAAAACATTTTTTTATTAAATTGTCCAAATTTACAGAGCTTGGAAAAGCCTTGGAATATTTCTGCATCTGCTCTGCAGACTGTTAGGTGGCTTTTCTGGGCAGGGATGTCCTCCAGCAGAGCAGACAGCTAGAGTACAGATTGTAAATAAACACAAAAAAAAGGAGACTGATCAGATGTGACTTTTAGGAGTGCAGAGACTGAGAACTTTTGTGCCCTTGATCTAGACATCAGCCAAATTGCTTGCTATCTTGGGACAGAAAAATTAATGGAACTAGAGGAAGAGTGAGGCTATATATCCTATCACAGGCTCCGCTTGTTTCTTTTTTGTGTGTGTGTTTTTTTGATTTTTTTTTTTTAATAAATGATTCAAATAATTATGAAAGGGATTGTTTGTTAACAGGTCTACAAAGGGGTTTTAGAGGCCACCCTTTTCAGTACAGAGGCTGGACAGGATAGAGGGAGCCTGGGGCTTTCCAAACGCTGTCAGCTGTGTCAGGCTTGGGGTGAAACCTCACAAAATCCCGGGGAGAGATTTGTGCTGGCTGAGCCAAGCAGGGGAGCATCAGACCCTGGTGTGGAGGCTTGTATTAAATTACTCCAGCTGAGAAAATTAACCTTAATTTTCAGAGTCCAGCACACAGCAGGCACGGATCGGGAGATGGGACAGAAATGGTAATTTCTCTGAAAGCTGACGTGGAGGATAATTGTTTTAGGAAGCAAGAGGCAGGGAACTAACATCTTGTGTGTCTTGGAAATACAGTACTTGAGTAATGTTTTGTGATCTCCTGAAGGCAGTATTAGAGGGAAGGGTTTTTTTTCCCTGTGCCTTGGTCAGACAAGTCTATAGATTAAAAATGTGCCTTATATGTTATAAATTTTTTACTCTTGTCTGTTGCAGGGATTTGTTTTATTCGCCCTGACTGTCCTCAAACTAGATGGGTTTTTTTCCTTTTCTTTAAGTAAAGAGGTAGAGGAGGAATTTTTTAGTATGTTGTCTTAATTTGAGGTTATTGTTTTGAGGGTGCAAAATAAAAATACTCAAAATCCAATAAAATAGTACTGCAAAATCAAAACACTTTTGATGGTGCAAAATAAATAAGGGCATTTGTAGCGCTGAAAGAGAGGAAGATGCAGTGGCAGGTTCTTTATCTAAAACTGCACTGGAACAGGTTGTTGGACCTGTGGAGAGGAGACCCCTGTGTTCAAAGGCTGTTTTTGTAATAATCATGTAACTGCATTATTTCAGGGCCATTGTGTTTGCTCACTGTTGTGTTTCAGGTACTGATGTGCAGCTGCAGTTGGGAGCCAGAAACACAAAGGTGAAGTGCCCCCCTACATAAACTGAGACCTGTTTATAAATATTTATCCCTTCTCTGCTGTTTCTGTGCCCCACTCCCTGTGTTTTATGTCGTCATTAACTTACCTGGGAAAGCAACAATTTACCCTGAGACCTCTGTGGTGTTTCACATCTCTGCTTTGTTGCAATCTGAGTGTTAAGATCTCCAGCTTGTGTCTGACTGGTTCAGTGCCAAAGCAGTTCTGTGCTGTATTTTCCTAATGAGTTCTTAATTGCCCTCTCAGCTCAAGTCCCAGTGGCATTTTTGCACTGGTCTGCCCCTGCTGTGCCCTCATCTCAGCCTGCAGGTTTCCTTTCACGCCTGTGCAAGCATTCTTTGGGAGTTGTAAGGGAACACTAATAGTGAAAAGCTGCTTTCCTAGTGCAGACCCCCTGCCTGGCATCAAGTGTCTTGGGTAAGGGGTAAATTTTCCAGTAGGGTTTTGTTCTGGTTTTTATTTTTTTCCAGTCCATAGTAAGAACCAAAACTAAACAAAAAACCCAAAAAACCCCAAAAAACAAAACAAAAAAAAACCCCCAGAAAACCCCACATGAAAAGAGTCAAGTAAATTGTTTGGAAAAACAGTGAGCTGATGAGTCTTGAGAGGCTTTTTTTTTTTTTTTTAATGTACAAAACTTGTGATGCTGAACATAAAAGTGACTCCTTTGAAGGTCTTTGTGCCCTTTTCCCTTTCCAAATGCTGTTTGTAGCACAAACCAGTAGATTTGTAAGTGCTGGCTGAGGGTGTAGAGTGAGTGGCTTCAGAATTTTGGGTGGAACTGTGTCCTCATTGATTTTATCTATTTTTTTTTCTTTTTTTTTTTTTTAAGCAAATCTACTTGTTTGCTCAGAGCTTGGTGAGGTTGTGGGATTTGTCCCCTCCTTGTTAAAATCTTGTCACATGCCATGATAGGAACTGGTGCTTCTGCCCTGCTTTGATTTGTCAGATGTGGATTATCACAAAGCCTGAGCTAAACCCAAGATGAACCTGTGCCCATGTGTGGAAACAGCTGAAATTGGTGCTCAATATTGGTCTCTTTGCCTTATCTTCAAACTCAGCCTAATCCATCAGCAGAGTAATTAATGTTCAATGCCAAGTAATAAACATAGCTGGATAAAGAGCTGCAAAATTGAAATCTGGCTGCGTTGAAAGTGAATGTCTCAGTTCCTTGTGAATTGTTCTTGTTTTATGAATTATTTTTATGTGAGGGTCAGGTGAAGCAAAATTAATTACAATTCTTAAATTAATAAATTCAAGCCATATGAGCTCTTTGTTTTCAGGGAGTTTAGTGTTGCATTTTCTAATAGATAAATAGCAGATGGAAAGAAAAAACATAATAAAACTTGGGTTAAGTGAAGACTGGGTAATGCAGGAATTTTCTTCAAAGAAAATGCCTGAGGAAACTGTTTAGTAAGATAAAGCAATTTGGAGCCTAGGCCTATTTTTTATTATTAATTTGACAGGAACGGGAAATTAAAATAATCCATCTCTTTGAAAAGTCTTGGGTGTAGAGGTGGGAGGACAGAAAGATATGTAAGCCTTCATATTTATACCTGCCCTTGTCCCACTGAAGTGGCAACATTTGGTGAAACTTGTTTTTCCAGGTTACTGGGCTCAATTTTTCAAAACTCCTCAGAAAATCCTACACACAGAATTACATCCATCCGTATCTACCTGACACTGATTTCTTTGTTTCTCTTATCTTTGTGTCAGACTGGGCACTCTTGCCTGTGGATCTCTTGTGGATTTGACAGTACTAAATTTATTTCACTTTAAAAAGAAGAAAAGAGGGGAAAAGGAGCAAAACAAACAAACAAACAAACAAACTTAGTGGAATCCGTTGCTCAGTGATGTCAAGTCAGACATTTAGAGAAACACATCAGACTGAGTGGAATTGCATAGGTCTGTGTGGGGACTGAAAAATAGAAAACAAAGGAAATCTGTGCGACAGATTTGTATTGAATATCTTGATAATATTTAATCCTAAAGAAGGCAGTGTTTTGGAAAACAGATGATACCTCAGCCAGACTACGTTGTTATCCAAATATACATCAAAAACACATATGTATTGGGGTATTTTTGGATGGATGAAGGGTAATTAAAACATGCTGGTTTTTTTTTTTTGTTTTTTGTTTGTCCTCCCCCCAAAAATGTCCTCAACTTTACTGTCCTCCAAGGGATGATACTAAGGTACTGAAAACTGCAGAGATGCTTTTAAAAATATGACTAAGAGACTTGGAATTCCCAAATCTTTGTTCTCACTGACTGTATACATTGGGCTCAAAGGTTGTGGCTGGCACAACTTCCTTTTTCTGTTTTATATCTGCAAAACATACAGCAATTTTAGTGCTGTCTTTTCAGAGGAATTACGTGGAAAATTATATATATTTGGAATGTGTGTCTTTTTTTTTTTTTTTTTTTCATTTTTTTGAGGAGGAAGTGAATTATTTTTCTTAATAAGTACCCCTGTGGTTTTCAAGTGAAGGCACTGTGCCACCACTGGCTTTGGTAGGACCTTGTAAAGCCAGGGTGTCCCGGTGCCAAGTTGGAATTATAAAGTATTTGTTGGGACTTGCATCTTCCAGGAGCAGCAGAGAAAGGGAGTCTGGGTCTCTGAGACACGCCTTGCTGACTTTTCATCCCAGATCTATCCTCTGCGGACTGGGCTGGTTGTTGCCTTTGATCTTTGCTGCCTTCCACATGCACTTTTTGGGAAAACCTCACTACTAAAATTCACTTTTTCACCAGGAAACATGACAGTTGCATGACTCATTTTTATTTTTATTTTATTCTTTTGCATGTTTGTAACATTCAGTTAGTGTAAGCTGTCTTATCCGTGCATCTTGGAAAGTGAGGATTTGCTGTCAGTTTTGGGAAGAATTGTTACAAAAAGGGTGAGAAAAAAAGGGTCTGCCCCTTTTATAAATCTGTCTGCTTACTTGCTAGTATATACTAGTATAATTGCCCACTTTGGTGTTTATTTTAATACACTGAAGGCTTTTTTTTTTTAACCTTATTACAGCTTAATGTAGATGGCTGTAAGTGAGCTTGGCAAGGCTGGATGCCTGCAGTGGGTAGTGGGTTAGGCCTGAGACTTCAATGGGATGAAAGACACCAGGGTGGGCTTTGCCTCCAGGCTACAATTAAGATCAAGGCTTGTTAGTAAGATTCCTACTATAAAGGTTGTTGACTGTCTGCTTCCTTCTGTTTCTCCTCATTTTTCAGCTGGTGACTGTAGTAAATAAGCCTGACAAGGGTTGTTCCTTATCGTGGATTCCAGATCTCCTGTGGCAAATCTTCCATATACTGTTGTCCCCATGGAGCCTGACAAGCTCAGAACTAATTTGTTTTTGGTTTTTTGGTTTGGGGTTTCTGTTTTTTCGGGGGGACACACACAATTGCACAAAAAGCATGTGCGTGTTTCCAATCGTGCTGTGGCTGCCATGAAGCAGTGGGAAGGCAGCAGTGCAAATGGGAGCCATGTGAGCCTCGTCTCTGCGCTTGGGCCCATGATCTCCTCATCAAATGTTGCCACGGAGCACTGAATTTCTTAAATGGCCCACTGACCCCTCTGCGCAAAGTTAGAAAATCATTCAGTCTCTTCCTCATATCCAAGTGCTAGTTTTTGTTTCATTTCTTTTATCTCCAAGACAAAATTGCATTATTGGCGAAATTGTAACCCACGTGCTTTTAATACAGAGTAAAGTTAAACAAAAGAGCAAGTAAATATTACTCAGGGTGCATGTAATACAAAAATGTCTTAGCCCCCTAAATTGCATTAGGGAACAAAGCTCTTTCTAATTTTTTTTTCTTCTTTGGCTTCCAGATTTATCTGTAAGTTCCACATGAAGGTTATTATTGAACCGTGCTTCATTGTCAAACAAGTATTGTGGCCAGAAGAGTGGGAGGATTATTGTGAGATGGGACAGGAAAGATGCTGTGTTATTTGTCTTCATGTTTGTTGGCCCAGTCATGTTCCTCCAAAAAGAAATGAGAAAAGAGGAACTCCCTATTGGATCAGTAGTAGTTCTAAGATTAATGGAGTGAGAGTTGAGGTTTTTGTCAGGTATTTTAATGTTCTTACTCCTGAAGTATAGGAGTTAATGGAATTTTAAATTAACACGAGAGAATATCAATTTGTATGAAATATATCATTGGAAATATGCATAAATATAGGCATTATCTTATTTCCTTGTGTTAGAAAATGTGGTAATAGCTAGTTTTAATCTTTAAAAGCAATCTTGAGCTTTTCTTGGCTGGTTTAAATCTCCAATTATCTACTTATGAGAACATGTAGCATCTCCTGAATAGTACCTCTTCCTTGATTATGAATTTACTATTAACTTTCTTCTGATTATTAGGTTATGATCTGTAGTTTGGGCAGTGTCAGAAGGAAGCAAACTGCAGACTATAATAGCAGTGTGTGGTCTTCTGTTCTGAACTCCCTGTGGATAGCTCCCATTTTTCCTCAGCAAGAAAGCACTTAGGTTAATTGCTTCATTTCAAAGACATAGTGGCTCTTTCTGGTCTGTAAGTAGCCTTCCAAGCATAGCTGCTGAGGTTTGGAGCACCTGCAGTCCGACCAATTTGGGGAAAAAAAAATAAAAGCCATTAGTCTGCAGGGGGAAAAAAAAGAAAAAAATGAAGTGGTGAAGTTCAGAATATTATCAATGATGCTGTGTTGGAGCAGCCTGAAAGATTTGGCTTTTGGTGTATGCCTGGTGCTATCCAAAACAACATACAAAATTCTTTGTGGGCCCATTTTAAGAGTGTCTTGTTCATTCAGAAGGGCCTGTGTGCGCCGTTTGTTCCGAGGGCAGAGGCACCAGCCAGCAGCCGATTCCTCCTCAGAGGGAAACACTGCCTAATGGCGCTCCCGGGAGCCAAAGAGCACGGGGACAAAGTGCTAAAGATAAACAGCTCAATCCCCGACTGTTCGGAGGCCTCAATAAAGCCTCAGATTTACACATTAGGGGTGGGACCCTGCTGTCCCCACCTGCAGGCTGGCCCCGGGGCCCTGGCGTGGAGAGGGACGGAACACTGCCTTTCTGTGGCCCCAACCCCTAAACTTTTCTGCGGCCTTGCTTTGTCACAGCCTGGGCAGGGAGAAGGAGCCGACTGCTCTCATTTTGTGGAGGTGGTGAATGGGGAGAGCCCACAGGGGCTGGGTGCTGAATGGCACTTGAGGGTGCTCCTCTGCTCTGGTGGACTCTGAGGGGCTTTTTAGGCTGCCATAATGAGAGGCTGCTTCCAGTAGTTTGGGTAGCAATAAAAATGCAGTCTACTTTTGTGCAATGATTGTATTTTACTTTGTTTTAACAAGCTTCACCAACAGCTGGACTGCTGAATAGTGACACTTCAAAAATTCAGGGGGCTGTTTTAACGTTTCTGAGCAGAAACACAGTTCCTACCTTTATACCCCAAAGATGTGAAAGAGAAAATAAGGTTTCACCTCTTTTATAGTTTTGTCTTTCTTTTATAATGAAATTTTTATCTGGCAGAAGTATTGTGAATGGTACATAAGCTTGACACACTGGAAGCTGATGGGGTGATGAATTTAATGAGTAGGTGGGTGCACTGAGACAGGTTAGTTTGAGGAGATTGTTTTATTTCATGTCTTGAAATACAGAGCAATGCATCTTTTTTTGGAAATACAGTGCTGTACATCTTTATTAAGATTTGCCTTTAGAATGAATGAAGTGCATGCAGTCACCTTATAGTGAATGAATAAGGAATACGCCCTCGTTTATTGTCTGTATTTTCAATTTCTTTAGTGGTAACTGGTAGTTGTTAAATAAGTAGGGAACTCCTTTGCTCTGTTTTGCTGTGTTTATGCTTGAACTGTGTGTGGTTTATCCATTTACTGAACACTGCAGTCAAGTATCTGTTCTCAGGACATAAAAGGGATAAGGGGAAAAGGGATTTGGATTTTTAGTTAGTTGTTGTTGCAGTTGTTTTGCTTTCAAAAAAGCAGTAAGGTACAACATTACTGTTTGCAGTGATGTCTTCTTGTGCTGTGTAGGTCAGACTAATTTTCATGGAGGTGGTTTTCCCCTCCTCTTGAAGAGAAGCATATAATAGGCATTGTACACAGCCAGGAGTCCTTGAGCTTTTGCTGATGGGTTGGAGGAGTTGAGTGCTTTGGAGATGGAGTCTGGCTGAGCTCTTCCAGAGACACATCCTAAACGTGGACTAATAAGTAATACACTCCTTTTAAAAGGACAGTGAGCACGGTGGAGGAGATGAAAGCTGCGAGAAAAAGCGTCTTCATTTTATGCTTCCTTTGAAAATGCTGTTTTTCAGAGCTGCACAATAAAATGTGTAAAAGCAGGAAAACTGTGTTTTCCATTTGTTTTGAAGTTCAGGGTATTATTCTTGGTTGTGTCTCCTCGTTCTGTTGAGGTTGTGTTTTACCACAGGGGTACCAATAGTGCTGTCTAAACAGAACTTTCGTTTTTAGCTGTGCTACATCACTGTAATGAAATACTGATGTGAGCATGGGAAACTAGCATCACTATATCAAATGAATTTAGTCTCAAGCCTCAGAGACCTTGTTAGTGCATCTTTAAATAAATAAACAGGCTTCTTTCCTCTGCTACTCTTGACCTCGCTTTTTTCTGACTCACACTTCATTCGCTTCATCGTTACATAAATAAAAACTGTAATTCTCTTGATTTGTTTTTTGTTATAAAAAGTCTGGGTTGATAAGAAAGCCTCTAGTGCAGGTATTTTTCACTGAATGCTGCTCCACTTTGTGATAAAAATCACATAAAACAAGCAAAACCTTCCTGGTGAACTACACATATATGCATCAGTACCCTATGTGCTGTCCGTTCGGGTTGTCGGGTACTGCTTTACAGTCTTTAATTGAAATATTTTTAAAAACGTTGTCTTTCAGAGGAGCAATTCTTTGAAAATATTTCACGAGAGACTGTGTTTTATCATAATTAACAAGCAGCAAAAGGGAATCTGGCAGGCAGAGGAGAGTGCATGCCTGTGTGCTTGAGCATGCATTGCTTGTGTTTCCTGCTCTGTGCTCATTACTGACCCATGGCCAGGCAGTTAGTGCCCCACAAATATTTAAAATGCCTTAATTTCTGGAGTCACTAATTGCAAAGGTGTTGTTCTAGCTGTCCACACCCAAATATTTAATTTTTTTGTTCTTGCTTACAGGTGCACAGACACACTGTAGATTTTCAGAAATGGCCAGCTGGTTGGTGATAGAACTAGAAAACTTTTCTTTCTTTTTTTTTTTTTTTAACTGAGATGAATTTTTCAATGTGTGTTTTGGTAACGTTTTCATTTCTGTTGCATTTTCAGGGAATAGAAAGGTGGAGTATGACATCTGTAATAGTAAACGCCATGGTGGTTTAGAGATGTAAATACTAAAGCTTTATGCTTGAAAACCAACGCCTAAATTCATATATTTTGCTGCTTTTGAATGCTATCCACTTGTCTGGGCAAGGGAGAGGCATTTTGAAATGGTACTGAGTGCAGAGTTGAGCAAGGCTTAGGAATAGTTCAGTCAACTGCAGTTAAAGCTGCTTCTCCTAACCTTAACATGCCAATTTTTGGGGAAGCCAAGGTAGTTAAATCTGTACCTAGATTTATTTCTCCATGTCCAGGAGTAAATAAAAAGCTTCCTTCTGCTCCTGCTTGGAGAGCAGAGTCCCCTCAGGGCCTGAACTGATCCTGGTCATGATTATTTACTGCTGCACTTCAGATGGAAACCTCCACAGAGCATTTAATCCCTGCCCAAGCACCATTGTACTCAGTGCATGTAGTTTAAATTTAAATGCCTCATCTGGGTTTTTCTTCCTTCTATATGCTATTTTTAGTCTGTGAGTGACCATGTAGCCTTTTCTAGGTCACTTCACTTAGGTTATGTATAAATACATGGGATTCTTGAGAAGATCTTAAGTCAAGCACAACTTGCCAAGTTGCTTTCCCATAGAGCAAAAATATTCCCTGTAACATCATGAATTTTGTTCTCTGCAGAATCCAGTGCTTAAGATACTTACGTTGGGTTGCTGGCATTTGCTGCACCCTCTGCTTTGCTGTGAAGCTTAGTAGCAGCTTTCCTGTGGCAGTCTTCCAGATGAATATTGATTATTTTGAATTATGTTAAATATTCTGTACTTTGGGTGATAGCAGGCATTGAGTTAAAAACATGGGGAAGAGCTTGTGTGTAGTAATTTCCTGTCCCCCAGCTTCCTGACAGCTTCTTAATTTGAGACCATTCAAATATTTTTAATTGTTGGCACTGAAACCTTACGTATTATAGTCCAGTTTCCTGTTTGCAAGTATCACCAGTTCTCTGACAAAGTGAATTTGGGGAGGAAAGTAGAATAGAATTACAAGCATGCTTGTATTTGTATATTCCCCACACACACAACCCCCAAGCTAGGTATGCAAAGCTGTTAATCACCCCAGTGGTTATAACAAGATTATCTTGCTTTTTAAACAGGTGTTGGGAAGATGGAGAAGACTTTGAACAGAATTCATCCAGTTTCTGATCCAGAAGCAACCTATTTTCTACAGGTGTCATGGGAAAAGGATTTAGGCACTGGCTTTGGTTTACTTCTCAGTGACTGTCAGTGTGCCTGGACTGGGACAGGTAATGGAAATGAAAATGCATTAATTTAAATTATTGCTGCTCTTAATTGCTCCTTTTAAAACACTTTCTAAGCTGTGTCCTACAGCTTGTGTGGAAATTCCAGGGGCGTTTTGTCCCCAGTGATGGAGGAGGTGGGGTTCATGATCTTCTGGGATGTGGCCAGAGAACTTTGAAATCTGGAGAGATTGTGTGTCAAAGCTAAAACTAATCCATTCAGCACATGGATATGCAATGTTTTGTTCTTTCTCAAGAATGTATAATTTCTTGGAGTGATGCTGAAGTAACGCTTTTGTGTGTTCTCCAGATTCTCGAACAAATGTGTACACAAGTTCCATTTGCAAATTGGAGTCGATAAAGCCTTTAATTGCAGATGTTTTTAAAATATTTTCATGGAATTCAAATAGACAAAGGTAGCTGAATTTTGTGGTGAAGTGAATTTTTGGGAAGGAAAAGGGACAATAAATTATCAGTAGGAAAAACTCAGCCTGTGGGATTTTTACCCCCCTCTGAAACCTCCATAAGAGGATGGGTCTTTGCATATGTGCACGATTCTCTCATTCACGCCCAGTTAGATTTGTGTGTTCCTTGAGAAGTGTCAAATACTTGATCAAAATCCCTTCTCTCAGTACCAAAAATATTTCAGAGGGAGAAGAGAATTATATATTTTAAGCAAATTGTAGGCAAAGCTATTTTCTGGACTCCTTGTCTGAATGATAAGAAGTATCTATGTAGCTCCTTTCCTCCTTCCTTCTCCTTACCCAGTGGGTGTTGTTCTTCCTCAGTTCCTGCACAAGCCAAGCTTTCATACAGGTCTGAGATTAGATAAATGTAAATTAAAATCAGCACATAAATTAAATCTGCTCTTCCATATTCCTGTTAGCATTTCAAATGCTCCATTAATCAGGGCTTCCTGCACGAAGCACATACATGTATTACAATACTGATTCCTGGAAATGAAAGATTTTTCTTTCTTGCCTTGACAGGACTAAAGTCAAGTTATTTTGAAAACCAAAAAAAAAGGTTGTTAACACCAACAAATATTGTTTTTTTCTGTTTGAAGGATCTTCTCATTCTTAGGTGACTTCAAAAATCCCCAGTTTAGAATTCACAAAAAGATGATTCTTATTTCTGCAAGTGAAGGCTTTGCCACTGTAGCTGGTAGAGTATAGAAAAAATAGGTGGACACAGTTCTCATTTTGTTGAGTTCCTGCATCTGGTAGAATGGAGGATAATGATTTCTCAAAACAGAGGGGCAGTGAAAGCAGGATGACCTCACTCCATTAACAAGGAAAGAAAGAAGCCCACAGTAGTTCTGCTGTGAGCATTGGGTGCTCATCCAAAGGAAAGTTTTTTTCTCTTCTGGAAGAATCTGATCCCTTTCTAATAAATTATTACTGAATTTCTATTTCTATTCTTACTGAATTTCTGAATTCTTACTGAATTTCTTCTATTCAGTCCCTTGAATAATATCATTGCGGTTGAGGTTGTTGTGCATGAGGCTTTCCTACTGTACTGATCTGTGCTTTCGTTCAACAAAACATTTTGGTCACTTTCTGAAGTTATCACATCATTTCCGAGACTGCTTCCATTTTAAATGCAAAACCTGGAGGGAGGGAAAGCACTGGTCAGAATATTCCTGCTGTGGGAAATCCCTTTTGGGTTTCTCATGCTGTGGATTATTTTCCTTGGCAAGACCTACCAGGGAGAGAGTGAGAGCTGCTGATGGAGTTGTCTTTTATGGGTTTTGTATGTTTAATGTGATGATGAAATGTGTTAGGAGTCATGTTTAGGGAGAGAGGGAAAACAGTGAATGTTGGAGGGGAGGAGAAGCACACAAATACACAATGTAATCTAGTGTGTTACCTTGGTATTGGGTTAAAGAAATACATCTGTGAGGATTTATGCATATCATATTTCCCTAATGATTGATCAGTTCTACTGGTTTTAAATCATAAAGGAACATGCAGCATATACAGGGAAAAAACCCCAAAACCCAACAAACCCACAGTGCTCTGTTGCAGTATTTTAGTATCTTTTTATTACTTTCTTACTGTTATTAGAAGTTTATCTTCTCAGTTTTGAAATTACTGTTCCAGACAAGTGCTTCCTTTATAAATACTTTAGACTTTCCTTTTTCTACTCCTTTTTGTCTTTTTGCTGCAAGGGATTCCACATTTCACTGTGTACTGTTTTGGGTGATTTTAGGCAACTAGATTTGTGGATCAGTAGCAATAAGGAAATAATCAATTTTCAGATGAGGAAAAAAGGAGACAGAACTTCTGAAAACCCCAGTATTCCTGCTACATTTCAACTAGTGGAAACGACACACCAATGCGTGTTCAAGGGAAAAATAATCTTCTAATATTCCATGGAATCACAGAATTATAGAATGCCTTGGGTTGGAATGGAACTTTAAGGTCATCTAGTCAGTGTGTGTCTGTATATACATATATATATGTAAATATTTTTTAAAATTATATATATCAATATATATATATATATATATACACACTTTAGGATATATATGTCTTGCACTATGTGTATATATATATGTATAGTAAATATATAAATACAGTTTTTTTATATATATATATATATATATGTAAATGTATATTAATCAGTGCTTTGTATATAATGCATAATGCACATGTTCCCACACATATGGATATTTGTTCCTCACATGTTTTTTTCTGGTAGTGTCTGAATCAGATATTTCTAGGGAGGCTGCTGACATAGAAATGGACAAAGAAAAATATGTGGAAGAGCTGAGGAAAGCACTGATAGCTGGAGAAGAGTCAGCTGGCAAATACAACTTTGTGATTTCGAGGGATGAGCAGAATAAGGCCTGTCACTTCTCCTATGAAAGGAACCTGAAAGACGGCTCTGTAAGTAGATAAATGTTTAAATTTAACTGTTAAACCATGAGAATGAAATACATTTTTGTATTTTATTATGGTCTTTAAAATCAGATTGTGTGATACTCACTCCACATTGAATGAGTGTTGTGAGCTCTTGCATGGGCCAAACTAGAAAGAAAGTGAGTGGTTTAGGGTGGATGCTGCCCTTTTCAAATTGTATCCTCCTGTGCACTCTTGTTTTCCTTGTTTCTTTATCCTCTCTGTGTACTACTCACCTAAATTAGAAAAAAAAATAAAATTCAGGCAAGATTATTTTCAAATGCTAAAACATAGTTTTAAAATTAACTTTTCAACTACTTCAGATATTTTGGAAGTTAAGGCTGAAATTGTTGCATTAAATTGCAAATGGGAAAGTGGTTCCATGCTGCTTGCTTGGCTGCAAAGGAAAGGACCCTCTTAAAACAGGAAAGAAACCAGTATTATCTGTATCTGTAGGCACTTCTGGATGTTTCAGGTTGTGCTTTGCTGTGTTAAAACTTTTCTGAAGAAGAAGATAACTTTAAGGTGAATATCCCAGTACTTATTTTTTTAAAATTCTTTTACATGCCCTTTTTCTTGTGCAGTATAGGAAATGTCATGTGAGTTTCGCACTTGAGGAGCCAAAAGTTAGGGCATGTAAGTCTACCAGTCTGCATTGTAGGTATTTCTGTGAATTTACCCAAGGCCATACTGACCCTACACCTTGTGAGCTGTTTGATTGTCCACAAAGATGTTGAAAGTTGAGGACCAAACTGTACTCAGAAATTGAGAGCTGTAAGATTAAGAATACCTTTTTTTTTGTTTTGTTTTGTTTTGTTTTTTGTTTCTGCTCTGTGTCACACATGTTCTAAATGCAAGCCGGATTAAATACATTCTGTATTTTTATTAAGTAAAAACATCCTTGTGTTTGTGGGGTCACCTCATAAATGTTTGCATCAATTAAGGCTTATGAGAAATTTAACTTGTATGAAAACAACTTTATGTCAATTTGGGAAAATAATAATCTGGGCAAAGAAATTGAAAATATAAAGAACCTTGATTCCTATATATGCTTTAAACTTTGGGTGTTGAAAGAATGTTTTTAGATAAGATAGGATTTCTTAGATGAAAATGCACTTTTTTTTTCTCCTGTGCGAAACTAATGCCTACAAATAAAATTGCCAAAGCAGTTGTAGAGAATTAAATAATAGAATTAAATATTAGAAATAGCTTTCAGGTGTGTAATAGAATATGTTCCAAACATTTTGCAAACTCTCTGTGGAAGTATTTGTGATCTCTCTCTTTCAGCACCACATTAGGAAATTAATCTTCCTGGGCTCTGTACATCCAGAGGGCTGATATTCAGCTAAATGTAAATTTAGTGCAGAGGAAGCCTAGAGAAACTCCTCTGCGGCTTAAACACAACTTAAACTCAGTGCTTATCTATTATCAGTTTAATAATTAACAGTTTTTAGTTTAAAAAAAATGGAAAAACTTCTGAAATGCATTGTTACACTTAGCAGTATAAAATGCTTATTAATCCATGTAAGTAAAAGTTACTGCAAAATCTTTTCATGAAATTGGTATATGGGTGCCTGAGAGTTAATTTTGTAGTCTTAGAAAATCAATAACATGCCTTGCCTTATTTTTTAGAAACATATGCATGCTTATATACACAAATTTGATTATTTTAATTATTTTTAGTGGGACCTGCCTAGAACATGATGCTGGTCACCAGCAGTCACCTGTGCCCAGTGATTTCCAGAGCTGAGCTCTGTCATAGTTCTCCATCCCACGTGGGACTAATGACTGGCAAATCTCTGATCTAGATCCTGATTTGTTGTTTTCATGGTTGTACCAAACCGTGGTATTTGAAATAAGTTTTACCTTCTTTGTAGCATCTTGCTAAAGCTCTGCTTCCATGAAGTCTAATGATGTGCCAAAACTGTGTTGGGTGGTCTGTAGGAGTGCAGATGAAAATAGTGGGGTGATGTTAAGCAAAGGAAAACATAGGCATATTACTGGGAAATGCTTTCTGATATGGAAATTTGTTTTACTGCCCAGGTGTTTTCTGGCGGAATTGGTGGCAGCCCCATTGTGCCCCTTGCTTTGAAAGGGACTGGAATGAAAAATGCACTGTAATTATCTGTATTGCCAGTGTAGTACATTTGATGCCTTAACAAGGTGTTTGATTCACCCGTTGTTCAGGTAATGAGCAAAGAGGTTCCTTCCATGAACTGTAAAAGGATCTTACACCTACTCCTGCACTGCTTTGATGGAATGAAACCAAACCTGTATCTTCATATAATTTAAAATGTGTTTATAATAGTCAGTATATCATAATGATGTGTATGTAAGCTTTATGTAAGGGATGTAAGGTTTATGTAAGGGATGAGTGCTGGTGGTTTGGGTTTTGAATGGATGGAAAACTTCCCCAAGCCATGAAGAATTCCTGTCTGATTTAGAGGGAGCACTGTGTAACACGTTTGTTTTGTAGTGCCCTGTCTGCCTGTAATTCTTAGAAGTAGGAGAATAAGAAAAATAATTTATCTTAAGGAATGTTCATAAGGGTTTTACTACTTATTTATCTTGAAGTGTTGGTCGGGAGAGATAGTGATGCCTGAGCTTTAGAAACACTGAGGCTGTGCCTCAGGATGTGCAGATGAGCCTGAGAAGCTGTGCCTTTAAAAATCCCCATGCCTTTGGTGAAAATCCCGATGGGTTCAGTGAAAATCCCGATGTGTTTTTGTGAGAATCCCGGCGCACTGGGTGAGAATCCCGGCGTGTTTGCGATTTACCTCCCTCAGGACAGGTGGGAGCCGTGCCTGGCGTGTCGGGAAGGGCCCTGGAATAACAATGTCTGTGGAGCACAGTGGGAATTGTGTGCGGATCCAGCTGCAGCCCCGGCCGGGCCACACACACACACGGAGACCCCGGCGAGGGGCCGGCGAGGCTGGTCCAGCTCAGCTGCTGCCACCTAAACAAACACCAGCCGCAGAGGCAGTGATTTAGTGCTTGATCTAAGTAGGTGACCACTGGGAAGTAAATCTTTCCAAGTGCTTCAGCGAGTCACTCCACATATAATAAATAATGGAAATCCAGCAAGCTCTTTCTTTTTTTTTTCTTTTTCTTCAGGACTGGCAATTAAATAGACTAAATAGCCTTTGATAAACAATTATTTGAGTGCTAGCAGTCTCTTTTTTTACAGTAATGTGACAGGCTGTGGGTTTTTTTTTTCCCTTGCCTTTTGCTTAAGTTTGTAAACAGGGAGGGTAAGAGCTTAACAAATTCCACCTTAGATGCAGCACTGTTGCTAATTAGGATGGTGGAAGAGATGCTGTTATTTGTCTCCCCCATTTCCTGTGGCTGCATTTCCCTGGTCAGGCCTGTGAGTTCATTATAAGTTTAGTAAAAGTTGAAAAAAAAAAGCTGGAGAAGCTTGTGCTAACCAAAACTTTTCACGGCATGCTAACTGAGAGAAATGCAGTTGGTAGAGCTCTTTGTGCTGTCCAAGCTATCTTGGTTCAAGGTCTGAGTAGCTACTTTGCTCCAAACCACTGAGGATGTGTTGTTTGGTTAGCAAAGGTCACTGAGAGTTCAGGTTGTTTCCCAGGCAATTCCACCAGCTGAGGAGAGAGGAAGATGAAATGATTAATCCCTGGGTCAGTGTGAAAGTAATGACTCTCATATCCCTTCTATCACTTAATGTCTATGTACTTCAGGACCCGAGAGTGGGCACTTGAATGGATTTCTTGGAAGCCCATTTTAGAAATAGCTGGCTTCTGATGTGCCTTATGTAATAGAAACATTAAGAGTTATCTTGTAAGTAATCTCAGAATTCTGAGTGCCACATGATTTTTCCCCATCTCAGCTCGGGTGTTCCTTCAGGTATTTCAAGTACACTGGAAATGCAATGCATCATTTCTGTAGCCTTAATGTAAGAAAAACAATTTCTGAAAGTGATTCCCTACCATATTAGTAGGTGTGCAATTCACCTACAAGGTGTATCTGTACAAGGTGTGACAGAAGTCCTGGTGAGCTATTTTCCTTGCTTAGCTATCAGATTATGTATTTGATTCCTGCTTCTTATAAGTAGTAGTTTGGAGAAATTAATTTAAAATACTGGCAATTTATGCCTTTAAAACTGGTATTGTTGAAAAAGGAGGAATCAAACACTGTGATGTATAAATTCTCTTCAGTTTTTTCTCAACCTGTTAGGATCTGTGTATTTCACTAGATCTATCCAATTGGAGAAAAATCGTAGTTTAAGTGCATTAAGGTGTACTGTAAATTACACTATAAAGGACATCTTTGTATTTCTTGAGTACAATGAGAATCTAAACATATTTCAAGTATACTTAACGTGTTCATAAAATAACAGATTTGGATTTGTGCAAGAAAAATTGTCAGTTATTCTTTCTCCCTCTTGGTATTATTGTGTCATCTCCCCTCCCTTCCTCTCCTCTCAATTTTTTCATATTTTCCCTTCTTGGAATACCTGCTGAGCATTTCAAATCCCTGTGTGGACATCAAGGCTTGCTTTCATTTGCAAATGCTTTCCTTTTAGGAGGAAGAAATCTTTAAATCACGGAATATTGGCAAGCTTTAGTTTCCCAAACACAAATTACAGAGGACAGTAGGTGCTCTGGAAAAGAGATTACTGTGTGTGGGCTCTAAACCTTCACTGCAAGACCCCAGTCCTGTATTTTCTGTGAGGATGAGCAGCAGCCAGGGCCTGGAAACCAATGGGATTCTCACCAGTGGTTTCTCTTCAGAAACTCTCTCACCTCTCACAGCTCCAGAGGAAGCATTCATCTTTCTACCTGCAAAGGCACAGGAGAGCTCTCAATCTCATGTTAACTCTTAGGTTCACTAAAATAACACCTTTTCCACTATATAATATTGAATGGATACGTTTAAACTCAGAGTAACTTCAACACCTCTATTACTTCTGCTGCAGTTGCAGAAAATGTCTTGAAATGTAAAAAAAGGGCAAATTCAGGATGTCC